AACAACTTTCAGGTGTGAGTTCTCTCTTCTCCTTCCACTGTGGGTCCTGAGGTTTGAACTCAGGTCATCAGGCTTGTGTGACAAGCACTTTTACCTGCTAAGCCTCAGACTCATTCTTTAAACACTCTCAGATGTGTTAGGAGGACAGGTGCCCTTCAGTAGGTAGCAGTGAGGTGGTCACGTGAGTTACAGAACGACTACAATTTGCTGTCTGTTTGCACCTCACCACTTGGATTCTCTATTTTAAGAAGAGGTCATAAAACAGCTCATTCTCACCAAATACCTTGAAACAGGAAGCACATTTCAAAGAACTGGAAATCTCATTGCACTGTGAGGACCATGCACTCACCACACCCATGATAACAGTATCAGTAACCACAGCACAAACTCAACGGTGTTTGCCAAATTCGTAGTAAAGGTGATCTACATGGGCAGTTTCCTGAACAATCCTAGTAGTGCATAACTAGAGCATCCACTATTTACCTAAGGAAAAGAAAACACATTCTCTGAAATAGCATAAGCTACCACCCAAGGTCCTAAACTGGAAAATGTGAACTTTTAACTAAAGGGAGTCTTTGCAAATGTGTAGGCTGGATATAGTACAGTACCACAGGGTGGGTGGGATGTCTGTCTGTCTGGAACCCAGCAGCACAGTAAGCCACATGGAGGAGGTCATTTGACAGAGCTCTGGGTTCTGGGTGAGACAGAACAATGGCTCCTCAGAGGGAGATCCTGGAGAATACTCTAGATCAGCCTTCTCTAGTCCTCTGATCTGCTCCATGGGCTGACCCCATGAACTGGACAAGGAGCACACTGTTAAATTCCATATACATCAGACATTTCGTATGTAAAAATTGGCCTTAGGGGACACTCTAGAATTTCTAAGGAAATATGTGATTAGCATTCACTCTAAAAGTAATGAAAGATGTGATGAGACAGTGACTTTCATATGTAGTTTGCTTTGTGCTCTGTCGTGTGTGTGTATATGCATGTGTGAGCGTGTATGTGGTGTGTCTGTGTGTGTGAGTGTCTGTGTGTATGTGTGTGTGAGTGTGTGTGTGTGGTATACATGTATATGTGTGGTGTGTGTGTGTGTTTGTGTGTGTGTGTGTATGTATGTGTGTGAATGTATGTGGTGTGTCTGTGTGTATGTGTGTGTTTGTGAGTGTGTATGTGTGGTATATATGTGTATGTGTGGTGTGTGTGTGAGTGTGTGTGTTTGCGTGTTTGCGTGTGTGTTTGTGTGGTATATATGTGTGGTGTGTGTGTGAGTGTGTGTGTTTGCGTGTGTGTTTGTGTGGTATATATGTGTATGTGTGGTGTGTGTGAGTGTGTGTTTGCATGTGTGTTTGTGTGTGTGTGTGTACACTGTAGCACAGATGTGGAGGTCACTTCACATCTTCAACTCCAATACTCCAACTAAAATGGCAGGAAGTCACAGGCCATCATCTTCCAGACGCTGAAGAAGGCTTAAGTTATCTCTGTCACAGTTGCCTAGTAGAGTATCATGCAGTCATTAAAACTGATCACTAGGAAAACTTGCCAGCAGCATATGTGCTAGCTTAAGATTCATAACATATTTTAAAGGATAGACAATTACATGTAACATACTAAAGCATAAATAGACAAAGATAAAAGAAATAGTGACACTAAATACATCTGTGACTGAATGAAGTCAGTCTATGTTGCTCTTTCTCAAATCTTCAAACTCTTCTAAATACTTTTTTTACTTCACTTATAAATAACACTAAAAAGAAAGAATTAATCCACTTTTTAAAAAACTGTCATTATAGTGGCTAGAGAGATGGCCCAGTGGTTAAGGGTACTTCCTGCCCTTCCAGAGAACTCAAGTTGAGCTCCCAGCACCAGCTTCTCACAGCTGCCTGTAACTCTAGCTCTAGTGCATCAACCCCTTTCTGGTTTCTGCGAACTCATATATACACAAACATACCCATACATATAAAAATTTAAACATTAAAGAAATTTTATAAGTTGCCTTTTATATATACAGAGCTATACTAATCATGGGGGTGTCCAGAGCCAGTGGATACGTATACAATAGAACCCCTGTACTTAACACTCAAGGGACATCATGGAAGAAGAGTGGGAAGAACCAGAGAACCAGAAAGTCTGCTGTGGGGATGTGTCTCTTAGAAATGCCTGGGAAGCTACATTCATGATACTTCAACTACACGGCTGCCTAAACAAGACCCACACAAGGACAACACCAATTAGGCTTGCTAACATGGAAGGGGAAAATCTGTAAAGGTTACCAGTCCGAGACAAAGGACTATAGGCAACTGAAGCCCGCAAAGAGGAGAGTTAGCCTCTCCCAGGGATGAGCCCCTAACAGATTACCTAATGCAAAGTGGTAAATCATATAGAAAATCATATAGAAACAAGTGATACTTAACAGATGCAACAAGGTGTGCTTATGTATTTATGTGCATATGTCAGTAACAGTAAGAGTCAAAGAGGAAGAAGCCATTGATTTGAGAGCAAGTGGGAACCATAAGTAGGGTTAGAAGGAGGAGCCATGGAAGGTGTTAGATGGAGGGCAGGGAGGAATGGAAGTAATATTATATTTGAATTACATTTTAAAAAGTTGTCATTTACTTTTAAGCCAATCACATTAAAATCATAAAAAGTAAGAGTAATGAGGAGTGTCATTTTATCCTCAATATCTGAAGTTTCAGGGTCAACCACACACGAAGCACCTTTCTCACACAAGGTGCTGTGGGCATGGGGAAGATCCTACTTTCCCTCTGCCTTCCAGAAGCCTAAGGGGGGAGATAAGATATGTGCCCCAGTCTTCATAGTTCAAAAATGAAAACATGTAAGTAATTCTTGAATGGGGGGAGAGAGAGAGAGTAAAAGAGAGAGAGAGAGAGAGAGAGAGAGAGAGAGAGAGAGAGAGAGAGAGAGAGAGAGAGCGCACATTTCTGTGTCCAAAGGAAAGACAGCTTACAATCAGCTGGAGGAAAATTAAAAGGAATGTATCTCCTAGTATAGGTAATAACTAAATCATGGACAAGCTTTTTTTTTTTTTTCCAGGAAGATTTGTAGTTCCAGAATTGAGGCATTGTGGGTAGAGAGGACCCTGTAAGGTACGTGAGGATCTGTAAGCACTTTGACTGTGTTGATGTTGAGGCCTGCGTAGGAACTCCTGGTACACAAAGGCCATGCAATGTATCTCGGCTGGAAGCTTCTTTAGGGATGGGATTCAGAGGCATCTGCTGCCGATAAGTCAGCGGATAATGTCTGAATGCTGTGCTGCCTTTGCAGTGGGGACTGCGGCTGGTACATGGGGATTCACACTGACACAAGTATGTCAAGTATTTGTAGCACACTGCACATGACAGTGCCGGATAAAGGAATGTGGTAAGCACCATTCTTTTACTGCTCATTCTTTAGATAGGTAAGTTAGTGCATAAGCAATTGCCAAAAGTCCACCTCAATGTCCCATCCAGGAGGTAATCAGGACACATGAATAACCATAACCAGAGCTGTAATAAATATGGGTTTGATGTCCTTGTTCACTTCTTTCTAAACAAAGCAGGCATCTTTAACCAGACTGCCCAACCTCTCTGGACTCCGGGCTCCTTGTCTATGGAGGCATGAATAATGCCCTTTTCTCACGATTTTGAGAGAATTCAGTCCAACAATATGTATAAAATGTTTAACAGTATTAGGCATGTAGTAAGTATTTGGCAATTGCTAGATATTAATGTGATCGAGCATAGAGAGGGACAGTTATCACAGTGAGACACACTAACTTATATCCTCCTCTCAGGATTTTAGGGTACGGGATCTAGGTGGCCAGTTCTCTATTGATATCCTAGAAAACAGCCCAGCGACGGCTGAGATGGCAGCATTTTGTCAGACTCCATTTGCCACTGGATTCCTAATAAAGCGGACAAAGCATTCGACACTGATTGGCAGTCGGGATGTGGCCTGCCAATCACACACCGGAGAGGTGAGGTCCAGCGTAAGTAGGTTTGCATACAAGGAAAGACTTTTCTCTGTGTCCTGCTGTCTGACACTGAGAAGGTCTGCTTCCCTAACAGGAACCTTAGGCTAAGGTGTGGATCACTGAGAGAGCCACCTTGCTGCAAGGGGCATCTAAATGCACCTCAGAGATTTCAAATAAACAACTATACGTTTGTGCTTCAAAGGCATTCTCTGTTTTGTATGGACAGATGGTGATAAAATAAGACACATAATTCAAATCTTAATTTTACACCCACTTGGTCCCATTGACTCCAAATTCTGCTCAGTCTAAACACCAGGTAAAAGGGCTTGCTTCAGTCTCACTAACCTACAGGGGTCACAGTAGCTAATGTGCACATTTGGATAGCTCACAGGTTAGTTCATTCACTGAGTGAGCTCCATGACTCCAGCTTGAGTTAGCACCTTTATGTATTCTGAGTACTCTCCCCCCAAACACTAACTTGAAAGGACTTCCAGAATGCCCACCATCAAATGCCCTAACAACGACATCACCACATCACCATTATAGAAGCAAAGCAACACAAATGGTCAATGTAAAATCACACAGAAGGCTAGGGAAGAAGGCTTAGCTTGGTGGACTGGCTAGTATAGTTTCTTGTCTGAAATGTCTGAAGACACAATATACTGGCATGATGTTTTGTTTTTTTTTTCTTAAGGCAATACCACTGAGAAACATTACCACGAACAACAAAACAACAAACCAAACCCCACATTGTTTTGTTTTAAAAGATGTAGTTGAAAGAGGAGACACCAATAAACAGTGACATCATAGGTTACAGCAATTGCCTTGTGACTCAGACTTTAAAAAAGAAAAGTTGAAACAAATACCACAGTTGTGTACTTAATGTGTACTTTAAATGTTTCCTGTTAATTAGAACTTCAGAGGCTGATAGGATTCTAGGATGTTGTGAAACACATCAGTTATGGCTTTGTTTTCGGAAAACCCTGTCTGAAGCCTCCAAGTCCCTGGAGGAAATGATGGATATAAATAACTCTATTGATAATTTATTTTAGTAGCTGAGAATTTCCATGTCTCCCTTCGGAAAGCAGTAGTGGGGGCAGGGCGGGGGACAAGGAACAATTCCTTTTGCTCTCACCCTGGCAGCCAGGAGGGGCCTCAGGCCCTCACCAGGGTCCAGGATCCCAGAGGTGACTTTAAAGTGCCATTGTGGTTGTGCTTGTTCAGAGAGAGTCTTGAGACAGAAGGGAAGGCTGTCAGTCCTGCAAGCTCCTGATCGGAGCACTGGGTCATCATCCAAAGCATTCAAAAAGTGTAAATGGTTCTGCAAGATTCTCACTTTGAGTCCAGAAGTCTCTTGAGGATTTCCCATCAGATCATCCCAACTCCCAAGACCACAGGTTCAGATCTGGGAAGAAGAGGCCACAAATAGGAAAAATAAGTAAATCACTAATTACAACATATATAACCTCTTATTAGAACATATATAACCTTTCAAAGCAGACTGGAGAGGGAAACCACCTTAAAACAAATAGTAATCTATGTATCTTTACCAGCATGGTCCAAAGCCCTTCATGACACACTCTCTGCCATTTCTCTAGTCTAAATTTCTCTTCAGCACTACTTCAGGACCAGTCCCCACCCACTCTATGGACCACAGAGAGCTATACTATGAAGAAATACTTCATAGGGTATCAGATGCCCTGGAGCTGGAGTTATAGGCAGTAGTGAGAGAGACAGTGGGAATTGAACTTAGGTCCTCTGCAAGAACTGCCAGCCCTCTTAACCACAGAGTGTTGTGGGAGATATTTAAAAAACGGCGGCACCCAATCTTGCTTGTTCTTAATCAGCCGCCATGTTCCCGACTAGGGTAGGCCTGAGGTCACCAGCAGTTGTGTGTTCTCGCTGCTGCCTCTGCTCAGGCCTCCGGCTCAGGCTGCCAGAGACACTGGCCTTGCCACCCATGAGACGCCAGTGTGGGAGATGCCATCCCACCATTCACACGGTACCCAGTAGAAACGAGACTTCCAATGCTTAGATTATCCAAAGGCTTTATAAGTTTGACAATGCTCAATAAACAAGATGCTCACACAATTGGAAATGTTAACCGATTAACTAACCCAGATATAAGTTGTTACCCAGGACTGCTCTCGGTACATGAGTGGTCATCCATGGCTCCTACATCTCTCTTTAGCTCCTCCTCTTCCTTCTTTTCTTCCTCTCCTTACTCCTCCTCTTCCTCTCCTTACTCCTCCCACCTTAGCTCCTCCCACCTTGCGGGGAAAATATGCCGCTACTACAGAGCTGTCTCCAGGCCCTTTACTTCTGTTTTTAAAGGCTCTGGCAGTTCCAACAAGCTGACTTTATGCGCTCAGTCAAGTGCATAGCCAAGATGGCCGCTCCCTTGTCTCTTGGTTCATTTGTCATATCTACTTGGATAGGCTACAAATGCTAGTCTAGATGCTGCCATGAGCTTTACAGATGTAATTAACGTGTATTATCAGGTAAATTCTACACAGCTTATATTCCAAAGTATAGCTTCCTTCTAATTCAGTGAGACCTTGAGAACCAACTCGGTTCCTAGAGATGAAGAAACTCTGCCTGGAGATTGTAATGTGGAAACTGCCTCCGTTTCCAGCCTGCTGGCCTACTGCACAAAGCTCAGCCTCACTCTCCTAACAATCACGGGCATCGATCCTTTAAAATGAATCTCCCTTTCTTTCCCTCTGTCCCTCCCCACAACCCCCCACTCCAGGCTCTGTTTCTCTGGAGAGACCCTGGCCCACGACAACAGGTATCAGGTTTCCTGGCTATGTCATTTCTCTGCCAGTTACTTCATTGTCACAATGTCAGGCAAGAAGGACTGAGACATTTCTGAGAAATGTCTGTTACAAAATAGTCATGATCCTGTTGACTCGACAAAGACGTTCTAATACTGAAGGGCGTGTGGGCATGCGAGAGGATAAGTCACTCAGGAGATTGAGTGCGTCTTTGAGTTCTCAAATACGTCTCTACTCTAAACAATCCATGCCTCGAGGCTGGCTGTTGGGAGTTTGTTTACTTCTAGCCAAGAAGCTATAAATAGGTCCCCAATGTGTGATTTGGCTAATCTTTTTATCTATCATTTAATAGCTAGCAGACATTCCATAAACATCTCCATTTCTTGGCAGTGGCAAGTTAGAGCTGAGCTGGCAGTTTGCCCACTCCCTATCTGGTTACCTCAGGCTTCCTCCCCTCCTTTTATCACGTGCTTGCTGGAGATCAGAGTTTGTCACCTCTGCTCCCAGACCTCTCCCATGTCTTCCCTGTCCTGAGTACTTGAAGGAGTCTCATTGAAGAAAGACACTGAGCCTACAGGACCTACACAAGCAGGTGCTTCTGGGTCAAGGATATCATTTTATAGGAATTGGGATTTTCATTTCTGAAGAAATGGGTATTTGAATCAGGCTCTCCAAGGCGGATGAGAAACTGTTGAGTCAAGAAAATATAATTACTGACTCAGAGCACAGTTGTAATCAGAACTCAGAGTGGAACTTCCCGAGTTTGTTCCATGGCTCTGTACCCAAGCTGTGGACCTACAGTAATTGCTTTCAGACAATTGTTGGTAGGCATGGGGAAAAGGCTGAGAGCCCATGTTAACTGTTTTCCATCAAATTTTGTACTGATTATTGGCAAGGCTTACGGATGAGACAAAGGCTTCCTGGGGTTATTTTCACAACTGATGGGTTTGGAATTGTGGTGCTACACACAGCAGAATTCTAAAATGAGCAGCTTGAACATGTCAAGTTTCTGACACAAAGGTATTTCAAAGTCTTCTGATTGTCCTGAATCATTCTTGTCAACTCAAGTGCCACACCACATGATTGCTAAACCATAAAAGAAGTGGCTTTTACCAAGAAAGCTAAACATGCCCGTTTGTCCCATGTGACCCAAGGGTGACCATTTCCCTGCAAGCTTTATTTCAGGCAAAGGAAAAATGATTAGGAAGAGGTAAGAGTAAAACTCTGTCCATCCTGATTTTACTGTAATGGGTGATGGATCAGGTTTTCTAGAGTCTGTCCCAGATCATTTTATTTGAGCACAGCACAGCTTTTGTTTTTTTTTTTTGTTTTTTTTTTTTTTTGTTTTTAAGTATTCAGATAACAATTAACTCAGTCCCAAGTGTACAGTAATTTAAGATGTGCTTACATTGAGATTCTTTACAAAGCACATCTGGCTTCTTTCCCAGGAATGGGTACTGTTGACTCAGAGATGATGTCCAAGACTTAGGTTCTAGGAAGAATGACCCGAGGTAAACATGAGGCCTGTGGGTGTCAGCATTGGCCTGGCCCTAAGGTAACACAGAAATCACTTAGACTGTCGCAAAGCACTCATGAGGATGGGTTTTATGGTCTAAAAGTAATGCTCAAGGTTTGAAAGCGAAAGGATACTGTTTGGGATAAGTAAGGTCTGGGAAATGTGGACAGAGCCTGAAAGCAAAGGACACCAGGCTGTAAAATCCCATCCTTCCTGGCATTCCAGGAAGAGCATCTGCACACCTCATGCCATTGACGAGGTAAGCTGTGTGTCTAACTTTCCTGGCTACTCCGGTGCTTATTCGTGTGCACTAGGCCTTTCTACGCTCTATGTGATTACAGAAACACCGATCCGAAGCCCCCACCTTCCACTCACCCAGCCTGCAGGAGCATAGCACCCTCTCCCTCTGACAACCACAGCATATCCTGTCTTGTTCACTGGTTCTCGTTCACTGGTTCTAGCCTGCCAACCCCATCAGAAGACTTCATTAACTCTGCTTTCTTGCTGCCAGCTCATAGCCCCATAACGTATTTCTTTTTTTTTACATAATTAAAAAAAATCATTCTTTTCTTATATATTACATTCCAACCACAGTTTACCCTCCCTCCTCCCCTCAGATCCTTCCTCTATCCCTCCACCCCAATCCACTCTTCCTCCATTTCTCTTCAGAAAAGGGCAGGCCTCCCAGGGATTTTAACCAAACATGGCATATCAATTGACAATAAGACTAGGCACCTCCCCTCCTAATAAGGCTGGATTGGCGTCCCATTAGGAGGAAAAGGGTCCCAAAAGCAGGCAAAGGAGTAAGACAGCCCCGCTGTCACTGTTAGGAGTCCTACAACAAGATCAAGCTACACAACCATAACATACATGCAGAGGGCCTCAGTCAGACCCATGCAGGCTCCCTGGTTGTCAGTTCACTCTGTGAGCTTCTTTGAGCCCTGACTAGTTGAGTCTGTAGTTTTCATGTGGTATCCTAGATCCCGCTGGCTCCTACAGTCCTTCCTCCCTGCTTTCTGCAGGATTCCCTAAATGCCCACTAATGTCTGGCTATGGGTCTTTGCATCTGTTCCCATCAGTTGCTGCATGAACCCCCTCTGATGATGATTAGTATAGACTATTTAAAGGAATATTTAAAAAACCTCCAACTTAACAAACGGGTCATTTAGAAAGTGTTTTTTTAAATCAGAAAATATTATTTTTTGCTTTGTAATGAATAGTTTTTAAAGGAAACCTTTATTGATTTGTGTGTGCGTGTGTGCGTGTGTGTGCGTGTGTGTGTACATCATGTACCCCAATCCCATTCCCTTAGTATCTATCCTCTGCCCCTGAAACCTTCACCCCAGAAATAAAGTAGAATAAAGTAAAAAAAAAAATACAAAAACAAAACAAAAAACCAACTTGTCACAGAAGCTATAGTGTCACAGCTGTCCCACAGTCTATCCTTTTTTGTCATGGAATCTCTAGTGTCACAGCTGTCCCACAGTCTATCATTTTGTTCACACTATTTACTTGCAAATGGACACCGAAATGGGTCTTTGGTCTGCTTCGCAGCTTCTGGCTCCTGCTGGTCTTTCTGTACCAGATCCTCACAGTCCTCCTTCGGGATATCCTGCTGTTGCCCTGTGTCATGGAAATCCCGGAGCTTGGGATTTGTAGAACATCCCTTTCACGTGGTCCAGCAGCTCATAGCTGGGGGTCAATCGACTCGAAACCCCAAATCTGAGCCTGGGTGGTAGCTGAGTTGGTCACCTTGTCTGCTCTCCTGTACCCACACCACCAGGGCCAGCTCTCTAGCACTTCCTGGCTAGCTCACCTAATGCTACAGCTGGCAAGGTGCAGGGCCAGTTCTTTTGTTCTCAGGGCCTGCTCCCCCTTGTTTCCTCCACCAGGGCCAGCTCTACTCTGCTGTCCAGGCAAGGTGCAGAACATGCTCTCCGGGTACTGTAGCCAGTCAGAAGTAGGGCCAGCTCTCCTGCTCTCATGATTTGGGGCCAGCCCTCCCACCTGAGGTAGGTGGCAAGGGGCAAGGGGGCATGTCTCCCATGTCAGACAAGTGGTGGGGCCAGTATACCTGCTCCCCCACCACCAGGCTAATCTCTATTCTGATGC